ACGAACTGACCAATTACAAACTACCACATCGATACTGGGAGAGAAAGTTTGTGAGAGCAATGTCAATCTACAAGATCAAATGCTTACTTAAATCAGCAGCAAAACAAAATTCAGCAGGTTAAAACAAAATACAATCTAAAGGCTACTATAAGCCACCTTGTCCACAAATATACAATTTTGATACATCAGGAAGACAGATTCTTTGCAGAAAGCTAAGCAGATAACAAAAAACAAAAATGGGGATCCATTAAAAGCTATGGACTCCAACTAGTACTAGTTCATTTATAGCCAAAATAAGTTACTGCTCTATTGAGGACAACTATACATTAAGTTGGCTACCTGTACAGAAGCGGCATAAGGGTGATTCTTCAAAAAATGAGCATAAAAAGTTTGCCCGCAGTGATTGACAGTTGATGCCTGTTAGAAGCTCAGGCTTGTTTATCGTTTAGCGTTTACGCTTAAGATTATTGGGAGTTAACTTACTCCGAGACTTCTTGGACTTGATATTCTTGCCTTTCATTTTGCATGTGTCATCATCAGAATCATCACTTTGATCACCGAATTTCTGCTTTTTCTCAGCTCTTCCACAAACAATAATCTTCCTTTCATCCTTCTGTTCGCTAACTTCTGACTTCGCTTTTGGCCTCCAAATGAAAATAGACCTAAAAAGAATGATAGCTTAATTAAACTAAAATTGCAATGGCACAAAAGTAATAATAGAAGACGCTTCATTCATGAATAATAAAACCTAGTACATGAATACATCCAGACACATGTTCTCATTGTAGACTTTCAACTCATCTATCTATATATTTATATGACATAATAGTTTCTCATCCAACATCAAAAACAGCTAAATATTGGTTTGATTTCACGAAAAATAGGCAAATCATAAATATCATCAGAGTACCGAAGCTAGCCTAGGAGCTGTGAGGCTCAGAGTGTTTGTCATCCCAGAAAAGACAAATGAGGACATAAATTTATCCAGTAAACTTAGTTTCAGATATTTTTATCACCAAAACCTGAACTGTCATAACGTTATACAATCAAAAGAAGAAGAAAATATTGCTAAAACATAATCAAAACACAAGGCTTTAGCATCACAGAATAATATTATTTGTACAAGAGAAACAGAGTACAACCTTGAACTACCAGATGCCAAAACATCATCCCGGGGATGTAGCTTGTTCACTGGACTAATAGTTGTAATGTTAGGATCCATTACTTCAGCAACTAATTGTCCTGTGCTGACGTCAATGAAATCAATGGGATGCAGGGCAGCTCCATTATAATTTTCACTTATGTAACGGCCAACAACTGCTAGTGACTCTGACGGATCCTGCACCAGGAAATATTAAAGTTAGAAAAGAATTTAAGAAACCCAAATGTAAACAATTCAAGTTACATGAAATCACCTTTGGGTCCCATTCAGCTCGAAAAGGAGTCAGATGACGATTAAAATCATGACTGTGCACAATTTCTCTGCTTGGGGACTCCAAATTGCCAAAGATAGAGTCCCATATACGAAGTCGGTTGTCTTGTGATGTGGTAAGAATTTTGCTCCCAGACAATGGAGAGAAATATGCAGAGTTAACAACGCGTTTGTGAGGAAGGTTGTAAAGGGAAGATCCAGCTTCCAATCGCCGCATGTCCCAGATACGAGCCTGAAGTTATAGAACCATACATAACGTTAGTATTTCAACTTCCGTAGATGATATGTCAAGGGAAAATAAAATGCTCAGATAACAGTAAAAGAGTAAAACCCATGTGCACCTGGGCTTAACTAAAACCCAAAATCATTAAAAATTAATACAAATTATTAATGCTTGAAGCGGTGAAATTAGAGGACTTACAAAGTGATCATTTCCACAACTTAAAAGAAGCTCGGGCTGAATAGGATTGCAGTGCAGTCCAACCACTTTGCTACCTTTCTTGTGGATTAGAACTGCCTCCCCACTTTTGCTATTGGTGCGTATGTCCACCCTATAACAAGAAAATATGAAACAAATTTTAATGATTTGATGTTTCAAAGATTATCCAACATGTCGAATATATACTAAGGACTCAGATGTTCGCATTCTCCAACCACACAAAACTCATGACTTCATTCATGACATGCACATTTCAAGGTCTATCCTTTCCCAAGTGCTCATTATTCTAGTAATTCACTTTATCATTAACAATAAAAATATTGAGTACAAACATAGCATAAAAAAGAAATTGCAGCGAGTTTTTCACAAAACATTGAACTCAGTTTTTCACAGAGACCAAATGGATAAAGCAATTTGCTGTGGAGGCCTGAAGAACAAAATCTGATCCTTCCCAGAACTTTCACAAGAAAAGGTCAATGTTGAATGACATCTTCCAAGCAGCAGGGAAATATAACTGGTAAGCTTTCTTGAGCTGCTTGCTATCTTCTGTATTCTCTTTTCATGCTAATCATATATCACTAGGAGTTGTAACCATAGAAAGAAGTTTACTTACAGGTAGAGAAAACCAAAATTATCAGCAACAAGTACAACACCTTTCTCTTGGTTAATATCCATGCCATAAAGCATCCTCCACTTGTTTGGGCCCTACAAGCAAATCACTAACTAGTCACACCTTTAAACTAAGATTTAGATAACATGAGAAGATTATGAATCATTCACATAATTCAAATTGAGATATTATCATTTCTCGCAAAGGAGGTAAAAGCTAAATTATTGTTCAAAATTTGCTATAGATTTCTCCTCTTTAAGTGGCACAGACATGAAGATGCTGTTTCAAGTGTCACATATAAGATTTCATCATCAACTTTCATAAACCAGAGCTAAATAATAACTATTCAAAACTACTACAAAGCACTGAACAATTGGCAGGTTATGCCATTATCCATGCTTTATAAATCCCAAAAATAAGAAAAAAAAAGTAAAGAAAATATTACCTGCCATCCATCAGGGTTAAGGTTCATCAAAGACAATGCAATTCCAGTCTCTAAGTCAGTGCAACTAATGGTTCCATCTGAGGATGCAGCATAAACTGCACCATCATTTGTAGGGTTAAATCTGCGAAGGAGATATGCTGGTTGTAGTTCAAAACTATCAAAGCCAAAATAGACATGAATTAAAGCTAAAGGCTTCACAAAAAAGATAGCTCACCTCATGTTATTGACTATACAGGAGTGTATGTTTCCATAAACCATCTTTTCAGATACTTTACAAAAATCCCAGACTCCAACTTGTCCTTTCTTTTACAATGAACAAGAAAAATACAGGACATGTGTGAATAGTCATAAAAGGCATCCTTAACCTCTGAAACTTGAACAAGCAACAATATATTATACATGTGAGACTAACCTTGTCCCCAGATAACAGGATATTATTTGTTGTTGGATGGAACTCGAGACATGTCACACGTCTACTATGGTATCTGATAACTGCACAATTAACTTCATCTGGGATCACATATGCTGGCTTTATCTATTACACAGAGAAGAAACAAATGCAACAAATTCATTAGAAAGAGAAGAACCCCAGAAGATCACAACACAACAACACCGATTGAAGCACATGGAGAACCAATAGTGTAATCAAGCATAAACTGAATATTATAGACAGCAAAATGCTAACAAAACTGGTCTCAAACACTTTCACCAAAATTCAATGCATAAATTGTTTACCACATTGTCTCTCGACATAATTCAATGTAAAACAAGCATTTGCATGTGTAAGTATCTTGTAGAGATAAGCAATTCAACAAAAACAATTGAGCTAAAGAAAAAAGGACCTACAAGAGGCATCCTTGGTCTGAGCTGGCGTTCAAAGACATACTCCAGTGCATTGCGGGTATTTCTATGGGGTGCAGGTGTCACCCCATGCTCAATAGCAACTCTATGCGGACAAGACATCGTAGTATGGCCTTCAAATTTCAAAACAATGGCAAAATGAATCATCATAATAACACCATTTTTGTGGAGAAATCATCTCTATGCTATACCAATATTAATTTACATATCATAAAGATTACCATAACAGAATTTATCAACAGAACTTTTTGTCACATTAGAAAATCGAATTTTCGTTTACTTAGTAACCATTTACCTGGCATTTTGCAAAGAAAGCAGGGTTTCATTGGACAATCAATGTACGTTGCCCCTTTAAACCCCGCTTCATGACCCGCCTTCTTGCAAACCTAAAGCACCAACCAGGCACATAACTAAAAACCATTAAGCATAAAACGTTTTTTTTTCCTCATAAAAAAAAAAAGGCTTACTTTGCAAACTTTCTTGAGACTAATAGTGATGGGTGCTTTTCCTTTTTTCTTTGCATCAAAGTTTTCTTCACTCTTCTCTTCAAACCCATTTTCTTTTCCTTCTTCTTCTGACTCAGATTCTGATAGTGGGCCCTCTCCTTCTTCTTCTTCTTGTCCTTCGTCGTCTGATGAACTCTGCTCAGTATCCGAGTCTCTCTCAATCACCACTTTCGGAAACGCCAATCTTCTTGTTTGCGGTGCCATTGTCAATCATTCACATACAAACAAATGAGAAAAAACACGACTAAGATCGAACCAGACAGATCAAGAGATTGAAATTGACTATTGACATTCATTAGGCCTTATATTCCCCAATCACAAACCGACTGGCTCATCGCTTAACACCTCCAATTACGAAAAAACCCCTACAAACTCGACGTTTTTCACCGCAAGTTGTTCTGGTCATTTTCGGCATAACGAAATTTTCAAATGGCGGGAAATACGTGGCACATTTTCGGCCATTCGGGGGTAAAAACGACACATAGGGTTGTAAGTACGTCATAAAAATGTCAAATCGGTTCGTGGACTCTAATGGGCCTGAGCGGGTAACCGCATCGCGTATCCACTAAAAATTTCGAGGCTCTGAACGGTTCCGTTTCACTGTACGCTACGTAGATTCAAAAAAATCAAAGCCCTTTACAGGCGGCAAAGATATAAACAAGAAGAAGAAGAAGAAGAAACAACGAGGCGAAGAGTCAGAACCTTAAGCTTAAGTGAGCGAGAATAATGTTATCCTTGGGCGTGAATTCACCAATCCCAAACACTCTCGTTCCTCTCAAACTCAACCCTTCGCGCCCCCAAACACGCCTCTTCTCGTCAGTTTCTCTTCGCAAACTTCAAGTTAAAGCGAGCTCCGCGGAAGTAGCTTTCAAAGAAGAAGAGAAATATTCAAATGAAGGAGTTTCCCCCACCCGAGGCTTGTCGGAGGAGCTCCCGCCAGGGCTGAGTCGAGAGGCGATGCCGAAACACGTGGCGGTGATAATGGATGGAAATGCGCGGTGGGCCCGGCAGCGGGGGCTGCCTTCCTCGGAGGGACACCAGGCCGGTGTTCAGTCGTTGAGAGAGCTGATTGAGCTTTGTTGTAAATGGGGGATTAAAGTTTTAACCGTCTTCGCATTTTCTTATGATAATTGGGTCCGGCCAAAGGTCAGCTGACTATTTTGCTTCTGAAAAGAAAATTGATAAGTTTTATGTTCTTAAACTTTTATCGTTTAGGTATAAATATGATGAATAATGGATAATCTGGTTGATTAAAGTGCAGGTGGAGGTTGATTTCTTGATGAGTCTGTTTGAAAGAACAATAAAATCAGAAATCGATGGTTTCATAAGGTAGTTATGGATCTTTGTATATCTTATCGAATAATTCTATACTTATAACTTAATCTTGCAATCTTTTCGTATAATATCATCGTGGTAGTTCAGTTGGTAACTGTTACGTCAGCTCTCACTATATCCAAAACATTAAATGACTTTGACGAAATAGTTAGAAGATTGTCCCTTACGAAGGAACGACCCTTTTTTCATAAGGAATTATTGTTATTTATAAAGGAACAATCAGTTTCTTCGTAAGGAATAGGGATAAGAAGCGAGTCGAGCAGTTCGCGAGCTACTCGAGCTCGAGCTCGAGTGGCTCGTTTAAAGGATCGAGCCGAGTTCGATCAGGGTGAAGCTCGGCTCGATAGGCTCAAGAGCCTCATTGTGCTCGAAGGGCCAAATTGTAAGTTTTGTAACTTTTTTTATTTTCAAGTTTTTAAAATGACAAACAGCCCCCTTCTCACAATAAGCTCGAGCACGAGCTTGAGTATCCACCCATACTCACGAGCTCGAGCTCGAGCCTAAGTATTCAAGCTCGAACGAGCTCGGCTCGAACTCGAGCTCGACACTGTTTATGACAAACCGAGCTCGAGTGTCCAAATATTCCGCTCGGCTCGGTTCATATACACCCCTAATAAGGAATTATCATTCCTTACAAAAGAATTGACATTTCTTTATAAGAAATGATAGTTTCTTAAAGAATAGTTATTCATTTATAAGAAATAATAATTCCTTATGAAGGAATATAATTGTTCATTCATAAGGAATGATTGTTCATTATGAATAGAATAGTCATTCTTCATAAATGAAATGTAGTTTATCCCTAAAAAACGACCATTCATCTATAAGGAATAGCCAGCCGTTAGTTAACATTCTTCAATGCAACTCACCTATCATATTATTCACATATTCTTTCAATCTAATCATGTTTAATTTATTCATCTCTTCCTTTTAACAGGGAAGGCATTCGAATATCTGTCATCGGAGATTCATCAAAACTCCCCACGAATCTCCAGAAACTCATACGTGATGCAGACGAGGCCACAAAAGAAAACTCAAACTTCCAACTCATTGTGGCAGTAAGCTACAGTGGGAAATATGACATTATCCAAGCCTGCAAAGGTATTGCTCAGAAAGTAAAGGAGGGTGTAGTTGAACTGGACGATATTGATGAAACCCTAGTCGAGCAAGAGCTGGAAACTAACTGTACCGACCATCCATACCCAGACTTGTTAATCAGAACCAGTGGTGAACTCAGAGTCAGTAACTTCTTACTGTGGCAATTGGCATACACAGAATTCTTCTTTGTACAATCACTATGGCCAGATTTTGGAAAAGATGAGTTTGTAGATGCCTTAACTGCTTTCCAGAAAAGACAGAGGCGCTATGGTGGAAGAGACTCCTGAACCAGTAAATCTCCATTTCTTTAGTAAAAACTATACTCTCTATATAGACTACAACAATGGGCGGTAGATCAAATTCAAGCCGCTGGGGTGTATATAATCATAGTCAAAACATGGTCTTACTTCACGGTAATTCCGTAAGAATTTATTTGTGAACGATTATAAATTAATGAATATCAAATGGTCCTCCTTTTATTTATCACAAATATTTGGTTTTTTTTTTTTTTTTTTTTTTTTACGAGATGTCCGAGCTAGTTTGTACTTTGTACGCAACTTAACTAATCTTCCGAAGCTTTGAAGTTGAAGATCAGGTAAATCCAGCTCAGTGGTCACCCTTATTAACAGCGTAGGTGAGTCGAACTTAACTAGAGATGGCAATAGACCCGATATTTCTGAGTACCTGACCTGTCCTGTCCCGAAAAGATCGGGCTTTACTCGATGTTTGCAGACTTCTGCTTAGGCCTGGACCTGATTTTAAGGCCCGACCTCTAGTACGGGTCGGGCCTGGGTATGTCTTCAGACCCGGCTCGGCCCGATAATTTTAATATTAATTATGCTAAATTACCCTTATACTATATATTTAATTACAAGATTATCCTACATATATATACTCATTTTCCCTAAACCCTACATGGATGGATGGATACACTTTGTGGAAAGTTATTTATATATTTGGTGAGTATTAAAAAATAAATTAATATTTAAAAATTGTTTATAAAATTAAAAATATAGAAAAAATTGAAATTTATTAATATTTAAAAATTCACATTATAAAAATGGGCAGACTTGAACCAGGCTTGAAGTTACAAAAAGCCTGTCAAATAAAACTTAGGCTTTACTTGTGATACCTGTGATGGGTTTGGGCTGGGCTTGGACCTTTGTTATGAGGTCAGGCTTGAGTCTGGGCCAAGGGATACCCAATCCTAGCCCGGCCCATTGTCATCATTAAACTTAACACCACTTGGATAATAAACCAAAAAATATTAGTTGATCCTGAACCAACGAGGTGGTTAATATTTTGGTTATTTCAAAGTCAATTTCATTGACTCTAATTAAAATATTAGTGTGATTCTGTGAAGCACCTTCCTAACCACCATGGGTTTAGGCAAAGAGGCTTTACATGTTTAAACTTTAAAGACTGAGAGCGGGGTGATAAAGTCAAAGGCATCTCCACCGTCAGATTAAGAGAATAACATACACAAACATAATGACATGACTAAAACAACAGTCCCTTGAAGAGTTGACTCTTCTCTCTGATTAATTTAACCAGGGTTAGGTGGGTAGATCAGATAATGTGATTTATGATTATCACTAATTAAAGTGGAATAAACTTTTGATCTTATCCATTACCACATCTCCACTGACAACATCCGTAAACTTTGTTCTTTTTGTTGTCTTTGAATTCCTTTCTTTATTTCTACGGAGCCGCCTCTACATTCTTTGTACAGATGAAATTAGAGAAAACCACATCTTCCCACCCAAGGTTTGGCAAAATTACAAGGTTTTACCCTTAGTTTCATATGTTTCAATTCTCACCTTTAAATTAACATATAATTGTTTGATCATTGCATAAAATAGCATAAAACCTCCAATTTAAATCCAGAATCACAAAACTTCGTCGTGTACTCTTCTCTTTTGCCAAGATGGGGATGGTGATCAGTCACTAACGAGGGAAATTGACTAGGAAAAAAGACACCCAAATAATACAAAACACTTCAAAACAATCACTCACTCCAAAAATACAACCACCAATCATCTTAGTGAGTGAATTAACAGAATGGCAAAGGCTGATATTTTCGGGTACCATCGGCCATTCGGGGGTAAAAACGACACATAGGGTTGTAAGTACGTCATAAAAATGTCAAATCGGTTCGTGGACTCTAATGGGCCTGAGCGGGTAACCGCATCGCGTATCCACTAAAAATTTCGAGGCTCTGAACGGTTCCGTTTCACTGTACGCTACGTAGATTCAAAAAAATCAAAGCCCTTTACAGGCGGCAAAGATATAAACAAGAAGAAGAAGAAGAAGAAACAACGAGGCGAAGAATCAGAACCTTAAGCTTAAGTGAGCGAGGATAATGTTATCCTTGGGCGTGAATTCACCAATCCCAAACACTCTCGTTCCTCTCAAACTCAACCCTTCGCGCCCCCAAACACGCCTCTTCTCGTCAGTTTCTCTTCGCAAACTTCAAGTTAAAGCGAGCTCCGCGGAAGTAGCTTTCAAAGAAGAAGAGAAATATTCAAATGAAGGAGTTTCCCCCACCCGAGGCTTGTCGGAGGAGCTCCCGCCAGGGCTGAGTCGAGAGGCGATGCCGAAACACGTGGCGGTGATAATGGATGGAAATGCACGGTGGGCCCGGCAGCGGGGGCTGCCTTCCTCGGAGGGACACCAGGCCGGTGTTCAGTCGTTGAGAGAGCTGATTGAGCTTTGTTGTAAATGGGGGATTAAAGTTTTAACCGTCTTCGCTTTTTCTTATGATAATTGGGTCCGGCCAAAGGTCAGCTGACTGTTTTGCTTCTGAAAACAAAATTGATAAGTTTTATGTTCTTAAACTTTTATCGTTTAGGTATAAATATGATGAATAATAGATAATCTGGTTGATTAAAGTGCAGGTGGAGGTTGATTTCTTGATGAGTCTGTTTGAAAGATCAATAAAATCAGAAATCGATGGTTTCATAAGGTAATTATGGACCTCAACACATCTTATTGAATAGAGTAATGTTACAGTTATCGAAGAATATCGCACTGAATTCATACATCGAATGACGTAACACAATCCTGATCATTGATTAATATTAATTTATAATTAATCAACGATTAGGATTGCGCTAAATTATTCAGTGCATAAATTCGATGTATATTCTTCAGTAACTGTATTATTTTACTATTGAATAATACTATACTCACGGTTTAATCTTACAACTTTTTCATACAACATCAACGTAGTAGTTCAATTGGTAACTATCATGTCAACTCTTACTACATCCAAAATACTAAATGACTTTGATAAAATAGTTTGAATGATTGTTCTTTTTGAAAGAAGGATTATTTTTTCATGAGGAATTATTGTTATTTATAAAGGAACAACCGTTCCTTCATAAGGAATTATCGTTCCTTTATAAGAAATGATAATTCTTTATGAAAGAATAGTCGTTCCTTTATAAGAAATGGTTCCTTCATCAGGAATAATTGTTCCTTATGAATAGAGCAGTTATTCTTCACAAATGAACAATGGTTTATCCCTAAAGAACGATCATTTCTCTAAAAGAAACAGTTATTTATGTTTAGTAAAAATCGTCAGTTAACATGATAGTATAAACTCAGCTTTCACGTTAGGGTTGTAAGAGAATGTTATAAGATTGGATTGTAAACTTAATATTTTCGTATCTTATATTTAATATTATGATAGGATATGATTGAGAAAGTGGTCGATGGAACTCACGTATCATATTATTCACATATTCTTTCAATCCAATCATGTTTAATTTATTCATCTCTTCCTTTTAACAGGGAAGGCATTCGGATATCTGTCATCGGAGATTCATCAAAACTCCCCACGAATCTCCAGAAACTCATACGTGATGCAGAAGAGACCACAAAAGAAAACTCAAACTTCCAACTCATTGTGGCAGTAAGCTACAGTGGGAAATATGACATTATCCAAGCCTGCAAAGGTATTGCTCAGAAAGTAAAGGAGGGTGTAGTTGAACTGGACGATATTGATGAAACCCTAGTCGAGCAAGAGCTGGAAACTAACTGTACCGACCATCCATACCCAGACTTGTTAATCAGAACCAGTGGTGAACTCAGAGTCAGTAACTTCTTACTGTGGCAATTGGCATACACAGAATTCTTCTTTGTACAATCACTATGGCCAGATTTTGGAAAAGATGAGTTTGTAGATGCCTTAACTGCTTTCCAGAAAAGACAGAGGCGCTATGGTGGAAGAGACTCCTGAACCAGTAAATCTCCATTTCTTTAGTAAAAACTATACTCTCTATATAGACTACAACAATGGGCGGTAGATCAAATTCAAGCCGCTGGGGTGTATATAATCATAGTCAAAACATGGTCTTACTTCACGGTAATTCCGTAAGAATTTATTTGTGAACGATTATAAATTAATGAATATCAAATGGTCCTCCTTTTATTTATCACAAATATTGGGTTTTTTTTTTTTTTTTACGAGGTGTACAGGTTAGTTTATACTTTATACGCATCTCAACTAATCTTCCGAAGCTTTGAAGTTAAAGATCAGGTAAATTCAACTTAGTGGCCACTTTTATTAGCAATCTGTGTGAGTTGAATTTAACTAGAATGGCAATAGGCCTGATATTTTCGGGTACCCATCCCGAAAAAGTCGGGCTTTACCCGATATTCACGTGCTTAGGCTTGGGCCTGATTTTAAGGCCCGACATAGGGTACGGGCCGAGCCTAGGTATATCTTTAGGCCCGGCCCTTCTCGATAATTGTAGTTTTAATTATACTAAATTACCCTTATACTATATATTTAATTACAAGATTATTTTACATATATATACTCATTTTCCCCAAACCCTACATGGATGTGGATGGATAGATGCACTTTGTGAAAAGTTATTTATATATTTGGTGAGTATTAAAAAATAAATTAATATTTAAAAATTGTTTATAAAATTAAAATTTATTAATATTTAAAAATTCATATTATAAAATTGGATCGGGTTGAGGTTACAAAAAGCCCGTCAGATTGGGCTTGGGATTTACTTGTGATACTTTTGATGGGCTCGAACTAAGCTTGGGCCTTTATTATGAAGTCGGGCTTGGGATTAGGCTTCGGCCAAGGGGTACCCAGTCAAAAATATTAGTTGATTGCTGAATCACGAGGTAGTTAATATTTTGATTATTTCAAAGTCAATTTCATTGACTCTAATTAAAATATTAGTGCGATTCTCTGAAGCACCTTCCTAACCACCATGGGTTTAGGCAAAGAGGCTTTACATGTTTAAAGAGTGAGAGTGTGGTAAAAAAGTCAAAGGCATCTCCACCGTCAGATTAAGATAATAACATACACATACATAATGACATGACTAAAACGACAGTCCCTTGAAGAGTTGACTCTTATCTCTGATTAATTTAACCAGGGTTAGGTAGGTAGGTAGATCAGATAATATGATTAATGATTATTATCACTAATTAAAGTGGAATAAACTTTTGATCTTATCCATTACCACATCTCCACTGACAACATCCGTAAACTTTGTTCTTTTTGTTGTCTTTGAATTCCTTTCTTTATATCTACGGAGCCGCCTCTACATTCTTTGTACAGATGAAATTAGAGAAAACCACATCTTCCCACCCAAGGTTTGGCAAAATTACAAGGTTTTACCCTTAGTTTCATATGTTTCAATTCTCACCTTTAAATTAACATATAATTGTTTGATCATTGCATAAAATAGCATAAAACCTCCAATTTAAATCCAGAATCACAAAACTTCGTCGTGTACTCTTCTCTTTTGCCAAGATGGGGATGGTGATCAGTCACTAACGAGGGAAATTGACTAGGAAAAAAGACACCCAAATAATACAAAACACTTCAAAACAATCACTCACTCCAAAAATACAACCACCAATCAACTCTTGAAAAACTTCAATTAAAACCCAAATTCACAAAAGCCTGCAAGAAACCATAGAAGAGGTCACTGACAATCAGAAAGCTAACACGTTTTGAGCTGTTAAGGCTTTTGAAGACGAAAAACCGATGATAGGATGAATTTTAGTGGTTGGGATTGACTAAGAACAAGAGGGATGAATGTGTGAATCGCAAATCGATAGGAATCCGGTGATTGGCAAGGTTGGCGAGGAAGGAGTAAGTGGGGCTTTTGTGTGTGAGACTCGATGAAAAGTTTGGTGGTGACAGGGAAAGCCGTTGTTGCTAAAAACGATAGGAAAAACCAGGTAGCAACATTTGCTGACATGCTCTGCCTCCTACTAAAATGTGCCTTCTATTAATTTGGGGGTTAAAAAATAATTTATTAATTTTGAGGCTAAAAATCTAACAATACTAGTTTAAGGGTGGGAATGTAAAATTTATGAACCAGGGTGGAAACTTAAAACTTGGTCAAACATTAAGTGGGAACATGTCTTTTACCAGTTGAAATTATGGACTCATAAAGTCAAGCGATTGTCGTTTATTAATTAATTAATTAACTTATCAACATTAATCCAAATTTAAATCATTGTCATAATGCTTCAACATTTTTAAACAATATCCTCTATTACTTGATTAGACTTTCCAATATTTATTTATTATTTAATCATCCAAATTAGTTTAATTTGCTGTTAATTAAATTGTACCATTTTAAGCTTAGTTAAATGTTGCCATGGTGACTAGGATGGATTATCATGGATATATTCTTATCTCTTGTCCGCAACTTGATTAACCTAATAATGTTAATTACAATCAAGAGATTATTTAATTTGTAATTAAACTGTTTTAAAACAATAATATCCAAAAACTGATCAAGGTTAATATTGACTTTGCGTAGTCCTCCTTGGGTTTATGAAACATGTGGCCGCGCCCGTGGGTTTTGGCCGTCATCCGCAGACCGCTCCACAGTGCGCTCTTTATCAGCCCATCATTTATCGCCACGTCATAACATATTGGACGTCATTTCAATACCGCTTCTTCGAGACTTGCAATATGCCAAAATACCAACTCTGCCCTTGAAAATTAAAAATATCGAAATTTAACCGAATTTCTAAGAAAATTCTAATATTATTATTCATCGACTATTTAAATTCGTATTAATAACACGATATACATAATAGGAAATAAAATATAAGGTTCACTTTTTTTCCGTATCCTATCCAAATATACATTTGTTTCAATATTCAAAATTCTCTTCAAAATACAATACTATTCCGACCACCAAATATACATTTTTAACTCCTTAAATTTGTTAATTTAAATAAACACTCAAATAATAAAAGTTTATAAATTGATAAAAATACCCCCACTACCCCCACATTTGCCAGATTCCAACCACCACCTCTAAAAGGTGGCCGAAATATGCGATAATGACACACTATTGGCTGGATATGGTCGGTAGTGCACCAATTTAGCCTTTTTTGGTCAGATCCACGGCCGTCAGTTTTTTGGCTGTTGTTTAGCCATCAACGACGATAAAAAAATTTGGCCAGATTTAGTCGTTAACGGCCAAAAGATTTGGTAGCCGTAGATCTGACATTTTCGTGCCAGATCCACAGTAGATCTTGCTGGAAAAACTAGATTAGCACACTACAAGCCAGATTCAGTTGGTAGTGTACCATTAAGCCAGATTTTGATCACCTTCTGATGGTGGTGACGAGAATCTGGCAAATATGGGTGAGTGGGAGTGTTTTTATCAATTTCTAAACTTTTTTTTGTTATGAGTGTTTAATTAAATTAACAAATTTAAGAAATGAAAAATAATCTAAATATTTTCAGAAAATACTATTACAAAATGTACAAAAAATTTCTCAAAATACTATTCAACTCAACTTTTTCTAAAATGCTATTCCAAAAACTCCCAAAATAGTGAACCAAACTTGCCTAAAATTTTATATATCATTCTTTTCTGATCAGACAAATTAATTGAATTTAAAAAATATGATTTAGGTAAGTTGAAATAAATAATTCGGTTGGTGAGGCAAGGGCAAATTGGTAAACTAAGAAGATTCCACTTTCTCTCTAACTACGAGGTGGTTGAGGAGGTCGCAACTGACAGTGTTTTAAGGTTGGGCCTGTCACTAGTAGTTCGTCTCCGTTTTTGGTATATACGACGATACTTTTTTATTATTTAAAATCACGAAAGCCTTCGAATTTTGATTATCGAGACGAATAAGACGTTTCTGGAAAGAAAAAAAATTATCAGATTTTCTCTTTTGGTTCTTTGTTTGGTTGATGGGAATTGTTTTCCGGGAAAATACCCGGCCATGGTAAAGTCATCTTTCAAGGATTCTCTTAAAGCGCTCGAAGCTGATATTCAGCACGCCAACACTCTGTAAATCTCTCTCTCCTCTCTTTTTCTAAGCTCTATTACTATTTTTTTTTTTTTTTAAAATTTTGGGTCAGAATATGGGAAGTTTTTATTTTTTCAAATTAAAACCGTTTAGATTTTAGGATTTTGTATTTGAATTATGGAACTCGGGTGGTTAAATATTTTTTTATTAATCTACTGATGGGGTGATTGGAGTCGATATGTCGAGAATGATCAAGTCGGTGCCGTTTTGCCCTTGAAATATCTTGCTTGAATTTGCATTGTTAATTTGTTTATGATGCTATTAGTTTAATTTTTTAGTAGCAAAATTACTTGAAATTTTGTTTCTTTATATAATAATTTCATCTGCTTTTCTTATAATTTGTTTTTAAGCATCTCCAGAGAAGATTAGAATATCTTATTTTCATGTTGTTGTTGCAGGGCTTTAGATCATCCAAGGGAGACGGATGGAGCGCGTCTTCAGATGAGAATGTCCTACAGTCCAGCAGCTCAATTTTTTATGTTTCTTGTCCAGTGGACTGACTGTCACCTAGCCGGTGCCCTTGGTTTGCTTAGAATTCTTATTTATATGGTATATTATTTTGAGATTGCTAATCTGTTGTTTGCAAGAATATGTTATATTGCATTACCAACAACAATGTAGTTAACTTTTTGATGACTTAATTCTGGGCGGATTGATGTAGACTTATGCTGATGGCAAGACCACCATGTCTGTTCAAGAAAGGAAAGCAAGTATCAGAGAATTTTATGGTGAGTATCACACTTTCACTTATAGATGGTGAATTTACTAAATTGCTGACAATACTTTCTTTCGGTGCAACCCTTTTTCTTCCTCTTTTGACATTTTTGTACTCTTGAAGAGAGAAGATGTTTCATTCACTGAAGTAGAAACTCGTGCATTAATGCTAAAATTATGGCTTTTAACAGGGGTGATATTTCCTTCTTTGTTGCAACTTCAAAAGGGCATCACAGATTTGGAAGATCGAAAACAAAAAGATTTATGTAATCTCAGATACAGAAGGAAGGACGATTTGGAAAGGGGGAAGAGCTCTGAAATTGACATAGAAAGAGAAGAAGAATGTGGGATATGTATGGAAATGAACAGCAAGGTTGTATTGCCTAATTGCAGCCATTCTTTATGTTTGAAGTGTTATCGGGATTGGTAAGCTTTCTTTTCTTGTTTCTTTTTTTTATATTATATCACAATGGCATATATCCATTTCATATCTCAAAATGGAATCACCTTCCTGTTGTTCTTCATGGACCTTAGGACTCTGTAGGATCTTTTAACTCTCCATTTTTGCTGAGGTGCATTTCTCTTTGATGAAGAAAATTGGATTCTCAAACAAGTGCAAGCCCTTTTTTGTTCCCTTAGTTTAATGATAGCAATCTTTTCAATTTCTGGTCCACATTTATGACCATTTATGGATTGAGCATTTTACGTCCTGGTGCTTATGTATGCTCATGTATGACAGAAGTAGGGTCTTCTCACCAGATTATCGAATACGATTAACAGATGATCTTTACACAATTAGGGGTTCAGTATCTGCCTGCATTTGCATTCTGTTGCATCTCTCTTGTTCTCCGTGTGCCTTTCCTAACACTTCGTGTTGCATGATGTATTGTTTTGTTTTCATTTCAGGCGAGGACGGTCCCAGTCATGTCCCTTTTGTCGGGATAGTCTTAAAAGGGTCAACTCAGGCGACCTCTGGATGTACACAGATAAGTGTGAAATTGTTGATTTATCTACGATCGTAAGAGAGAACTGTAAAAGGCTATTCATGTACATTGATAAATTGCCACTTATTATTCCAGATCATGTCTTTGTTCCCTATGATTGTCATGTTAGGTGATGGCTTTTATGTACAGGCTTTCGGAACTCATTGTATATGATATAATAAAAACATAATTCTATATGTTCCAATGCCACCTTTTTAACTGTAAAAATCTTTTGACAAGCACTTCTGTAATGTTTCTTCTTTTGGTCCTGACAACAGTAGTGATTTTGATTCTCAGGTTTTATTATATTGTACCTGTAGATGGGATAGTCATAGTGGTCTTCGTTTGTAAGTCAAGAGTTAATATACATTATAATATCATCGGTTCCTGTTTTTGCTCATTTTTATGTGTTATTGATTGAAGTTCTTGACTTTAACAGCTAGAAAGAATATTCAAAACTCCTTATTAAGGTGTTACAGGTGAAATCTTTTGACTTCACTACAAGAAAGAATACTCAAATTGACACCCTTTTTATAAGTCGACTGGGCAATTTGATTCATTGAAAAAAAGACAAGCACTAATAGGACATGGAGCCATACAGAAATGTGATTTGAGTTATAGACACTACCCCAATGGAGCAGTAGCAATCTAGTTACTATTTCTATCTTGTATTCGCATATAATCTGAATAAAAGCGAGGGTGGCTTTCTTCTGGATGAGCAACATAAGCATATCCTCCATGGCTAGATATATCAAGCCCTGCAATTTCTTCCTCTATAGGGATTCTCAGAACCCTTAGCTTATGAAGAGCATAGAAAAGAGGTCCCATTGTCACACTAACCCATCCTACAATCACTAAAAGCTCAATCACTTGTGCTCCAATTAGACCCCAGCCCCCTCCCATGAAGAGACCATAGGGTCGCACCACACCACTCTCTCCTGAAGTATAAGCTTGAATCACAAATTCCTTTTTGGCAAACAACCCTGTGAAAATCAAACCCCAAGCACCACACCCACCATGCAATTGGGTTGCCTCTAATGGGTCATCAAAGTTCAGTTTTAGTGCCAAAATGTTGAGCCCAATCAAGACCCAAGCTGAAAAAAACCCACAAACAATAGCAGCCCATGGCTCAACCACTGAACAGCCAGAAGTGATTGCGATAAATCCACCAAGCAACCCATTGCAAACATCGAGTGCATCCCAATGGCCGACTAGTAGTCGCCGGCCAAATAGTGTTACAAGCCCGGCTGTTGATCCGGCTAACGTAGTCGTAACTGCAGTCCTACCGACTCCAGTCCAGTTACCTTGATCAGAGGTGGAAGGATAAGCCACAAGAATTTGATCAAATGAGCCAGGATTAAACCCAAACCAACCAAACCACAACAAGAATGTGCCAAGAACCACTAGGGTTGCATTATGCCCACGCATTGGCACAGGCTTGCCAAATGCATCAAACCGGCCCACTCGAGGGCCTTCAATTAAAGAACCCCAAAGCCCAGCAATTCCACCGACCAAATGCACGACGCCACTGCCAGCAAAGTCAATAGCACCAGAACCAAACAGCAAGTCACTTGAACTGGGACTGAGCCAACCACTGGATGACCAGACCCAGTGAACGACAACTGGGTACACAAACCCACTAAGGAAAAATGAAAAAACAAGGTAAGCACTGAACTGGGTTCTCTCAGCAATGGAGCCACTGGTGATACCTGCAACAGCTATGGCAAAAGCCCATTGATAAAGGAAATAGCTATAGTCATAAGTGCTGTTGGGAATATCTTTAAGAGCAAAGAAGCTTGTGCCAATGAAAGGGTTAGAACCGGAGCCATCACCAAATGCAAAAGCAAAGCCAAAGAGGTAGTAAGAAATGCTACCAACAACGGCATCAACAACATTTGTAAGCATGATGTTCATGGCATTTTTGGCTCGGACTGAGCCAGCACATAGCATGGCAAAACCAAGTTGCATCACAAAGACTAAATATGCAGAAAAGAGAAGATAAATAGTGTTAATAGAGTCAGTGACACTTTTTTCCCAAGAAACTTCCATCATTCCTTGAGACAGAGAGGAAGAGGGTGAGGGAGAGGGAGAGGGAGAGAGATAAAGAGAAAAAGATGGTTGGCTCTGAAGGGAGAGAGGATATAGAATGATGGTTTTGTTAAGTAAATGGTATAGGTTGAATGGTAGCTATAGATATTCCTGTGCTTTTTAAATCCTTGATTGATATTTTGTGGCAAGTTGTGCATTCTACTTTAGAGACTTGGAAGTAAGGCAATAGACTTACAACTAGTTTTTTGTTTTTTTTTTTTTCTTTAATGATCGACGTGATTAGATTTATGCATGCCTCAAACTAATATTCTTCTGGAACCTTGAAACTATCGGTCGAGTTACAACTAATTGTTGTCAGGCCTCTACCCTGTCAAAATCTGAGGCAAGTGCTACCAAATGAACAATTAGGCCTCTATGATATTCCCATTCAGGATTTAGGTACTGCATTGAGTTACCAAAAATAATCCCAAGCACAGATCAAATGCAGTTTAGTTTATTTGATTGATGAATCGTGCTGCTGTGACCTTTTCATAGTCCTGCAAGGAAAGTTTATTGTTCTTAATTAATTTCAAGATCATCCGGTAAAGGTGGGTAGACATCCGGATTTTGAGGAGATTCTCATGCTGATTATTTGAGATTCTGCCGAATCATATCTAAGTCACCTAATTAGTTGGAAAATTTCGTGATGTGAAGCATGTGGTAAGTTGACACATAATCAGGCAGTGAATACGTAGTTATTTAAAGTTGACACAAGCAAGTTGGAAGCTTAATATTAATTATAATGGCGTATTAACATAGAATTAGATACAGGTTCAGAAGAATACTTAACTTGCACCCCATTGACAATATTATATTGATGCTTTCAAGTCATCTTTGGTTGGTGGGTCCGCATATCTGCTCCTCCATCCATTCTTGACCAGCTGAAAGTATGAAGAGAATAGTGACAGCTGTTAGGGCCAAAAATGTCGGGCTTGATGGGGCCTAATAACGAAATAAACATGTACGGCCAAGGTCTCAACCTAATCTCGATTGGGCCCACACTTAAAATCACCTTGCGACCTACCACTCTATGAGTTGGGCTATCCTATAAATTAAGCTAAACTGGGTTTCAGCCAATAGCCCGCAATATAGTATAAATAGGAAATCAGAATCTCATTCTATTTCCTCTTCTACTAAGATTTCAAATCTCACTCAAACTATTAAACTTGATCTGATAAGGTCAAGAAATCAATCTCTTCATGATAGGGATTATCTCCAAAATAGGACTTAGTGTCCTACTAAGATTCCACTCTTTATTTAAACTATTAAACTTAATCTGATAAGGTTAAGAAATCATATCTCTTTTAGATAGGGATTATCCCAAAAGAGGACTAATGTCCTACTAGGATTCAACCCCTTAGGTTCACTATAAAAACAGAGGCTTGCCCTCTCATTAAGCATGCAATCTCTACCGTCAATCTACACCACTCAAAACCATCTATTGCTCCTAAGTTCTGCTCCACAGAACCCGACTCCTCCGTCTAGTCTAGCCTCCGACAAGACTCCTGGTAATTCTTTCTCCTTAATTCTTATTAATCTCTTTAGCCTTGCTGACTTGAGCGTCGGAGTGCTACGGGAAACACCTCTCGGTGTTTTCCGGAAGCTTCACGCTTGCCCTTTCATGTGTGCAGGTCTAACGGATTGTCAGGACCTCAATCTCACGGGTCACACCCTATTTTCATGACGGTAGATTTTTTGCATCTACAGTTTGGCGCCCACCGTGGGGGCTCTGACAATCGTCATTCCAATGATGACTTGCAACATGAGAGGAGGCACGGAACTCTCTCCGACTGACATCGTTAATCTGAAAAGTTCCATCACGATAAGAAAATTTTTTCTTTGCTTTTCGTCATTGATTTTTGTTCACATGTCATATTATATCTATTCGATATATCATAATTTGTTTTAGCATGTTATGTTTATTCAGCAGAGATATGATACATTGAAGCATCAAAACACATCTCTCGGTTTATAATTGTTTTGGCGTTAGTGGAATATCGCTCCCCTTTTTGTATATGTTTAATTTCTTTTTAGAAGATATTTCATATTCTAAAAAACCTTATGTCTCTTGGACATGTTTTAGAGTTCTTAAAAAAACCATTTTCCATGTCTCAACGCTTCTATCACTCATCCAGCGCTTCCAACGTAAAATCACATGTGCCTCCAATATCCCAATTTCAAGATATCATTCCTGTTTGATCCTTTTCTAACATGATCATCTCATGGTAAGAAGACAAACGCTGCTTTGGGTTGGGGCCCTTCTCTACATTACCTTTCACATATGGCGCCATATATACAACAGTCAAAACTGTAATAAACTTAGATCAGTCAGCATGGATTCCGACATTCGGTTCATGCCACCAGAGTTTTGTCCATCCATATTGGTTTCCGATGTAATGATAGAGCGACCCTCACGGATTACCTCCTCTTTATTTATACCAACATCACCCTCTATAGCCCCAAATCTCCATATACAACCCTACTTCACCAACCTATAGCCCTACTCGCCAAGTCACGGTCCTCAGTCTACCAAATATAGTCCCTCACTGGCTTATCCACCAAGCAGCCCAAGATTGTCACTTGCCAGCCCTACAGTCCTACATCTCCAAATTACAGCCAACACCTTCATCATATTCACAGTCTCCATCTTATTCTCTTCAAGCGTCATAACATGGCAGTCCATATAATTCTGGGGGAAGCCAAGACTATAACTCGAGTTCTCACCGAGTGTCGGATACTAGCCTAGCGCGCTAGTCTACTGTCCATCATCTACTAGTCAATACACCCATAGAAAAAATAGGGAAGAATGCCGCCTCCCAATCTCTTTCTTCTCCATGAAAAATGTCAAAGTTCCCCAAGAAACTTGCCAAGAACAATTCTAATCTTCTCCAAAAAAACAAATTCGTTTAGAGAACCTCAAGAGCTATTGGAAAACGAAACTGTAGAAAAAACGAAGAAAACCCATGAAACACCTTCAGCCTCCTTCAAAAAAATAAAGGCACCAAGCATTTGTAAAACTACTTCACAACAGAAATTGTCTTTTTCCAGAAGTTTACCTGACTAATAACAAATCTAACCCAAAATATTTGTACAGACCCAAAACCTATATTTTAAAAGAATTCCAATTTTCGCTCTCAGAAAAATCAAGAAACGCCACAAAACCGCCCCTAAACTTTAACTTTTTTATCCAAAAACACCTCAACTAATCAAAATATTTGGATACAGAAAAGTAGAAAACAATAGAAATTGAAGAGAGGAGAAGACTTTACGTGATCGCTGAGGGAAAGTTGAAAAACTCCTATGCCAGAAAAATCCGTGAAGAAAAATCTACCGGGGAAGATGACGGGTCAAAGAAATCAAATACACATTTTCTTTAAATGACTTGACGCCAAAAATTTATGCATAATAAAATATTTCAAACTTCAAAAGCTGTAAGATTTTTTCATGCGTTTAATACACCTTGATTCAAAAGGGCCACGTGGCAAATATTGGAAAAGTGAGCTTTCAATTCCCACTCACACCAATAGACTCATATTTCATAAGTTGTTCTCACATGCGGGAGGAGAAGGGCCAAATAGATCAAGCACTTGCTCGGTTCATTCATTTTCATTTGATTTAAACATATTCATTCGGCCTCATGCATTTTACTCTCCATTCAGCCCTTGTTTCTCCATTTGGCTTATTCGACTGTTGGACACGCATGATACATATAACACCATATGATCATTGGTATTTCTCCCATTTGGTCTTTCTTTTCTATTCGATTTGTTCTAGAAGAATACACATCAGGATTATTGGAGCTGAATGACAGTAATCATTCTAGTGGCATTACAACTCTACCTCTGTTTGGAAAACTTTATCCTGGGCTGAGGCTACTTTTCATTTGTGCATGAGCTTTTCGAGTGGAATAATGGTATTTCATATCACTCCTTAAAAGTCAAATCAAAAACTCCACTTGATTCAGCAAGCATGGGTGGCAACACTTGAAGGGGAAAGGGTTGGGGTTATTTCTTCATTCTTGCTGTGTGAGCTTTGCCAAGTGATCTGTAGGCTCACCCTCATACAACTCTTGCTCGAGTCGACTGATTCGTGCATAAAGAGCCACTCGCCTATAGAATATGGTACTTTCGTATCACCTCCTCAAAAGTCAAATCAAATTGCTTGTTTCATCCCACACGGCTCAATCGATCACCTCGTCCATGTTGTCAAAGCTATACCGGTTCAGCAAGCATGGGTGGCAACACTTGAAGGGTAAAGGCATGCCAGCAAGTCACTGCTCCGGCTTCAATCAAAGGTTTCAACTACAAGTCGGTCACGCGGACTTGACCGCAAGCTCATACAAGCTCTACTTGGGATACACCTTCAAATTGTGTCTGCCCGATAAACGTTACGGACACCTTCAAATGGCTGCCCGATAAACGTACGCACCTTCAAATCGGCCGACCGATAAACGTACGGACACCTTCAAATCGGCCTGCCCGATAAACGTACTACACCTTCAAATCGCTGCCCGATAAACGTACGGACACCTTCAAATCGGCTGCCGATAAACGTACGGACACCTTCAAACAGCCTCCTGATAAACGTATGTACACCTTCGGATCGGCCTTGCCCGATCACAGATTTAAACTTTCGGATCGACACGCTCGATCCATGGATTTACACCTTCTACGGATTTAAACCTTCGGATTGAGCCTGCGATACACCATTTACACCTTGGATCGACCCTGCTCGATCCAAGGATTTGCACCTCGATTGGCCCTGCCCGGTCCATAAAGCTACACTTCAGTCAGCCAGACTGGTTGAAGGGTCTTGCACTCAAACGACAAGTCATCGACCCAATCCACACAACGATCCATCCGACCTAAGAGCTGCTATCAATAATCCGCTCAGTCTGCACCTCATCGATTTAACTACTCTCTAAGCTAAATCTCTTTAACTTAGAGAGTGGGGGGCTAACTGTTAGGGCCAAAAATCGTCTTGGGCTTGACGGGGCCTAATAACGAAATAAACATGTCCGGCCAAGGCCTCAACCCAATCCCGATTGGGCCCACACTTAAAATCACCTTGCGACCTACCCACTTATGAGTTGGGCTATCCTATAATTAAGCTAAATTGGGTTTCAGCCAAGCCTGCAACAGAGTAAAATAGGAAATCAGAATCTCATTCTATTTCTCTTCTACTAAGATTTCAAATCTCACTCAAATATTAAACTGGATCTGATAAGGTCAAGAAATCATATCTCTTTCATGATAGGGATTATCTCCCAAAATAGGACTTAGTGTCCTACTAAGATTCCAACTCTTATTTAAACTATTAAACTTAATCTGATAAGGTTAAGAAATCATATCTCTTTTATGATAGGGATTATATCCCAAAAGAGGACTCAATGTCCTACTAGGATTCCAACCCCTTAGGTTCACTATAAAAACAGAGACTTGCCCTCTCATTAGGCATGCAATCTCTCACAGTCAATCTACACCACTCAAAACCATCTATTTGCTCCTAAGTTCTTGCTCCCAAGAACCCGACTCCTCCGCCGTAGTCCTAGCCTCCGACAAAACTCCTGGTAATTCTTTTTCTCCTTAATTCTTATTAAATCTCTTTCAGCCTTGCTGACTTGAGCGTCGGAGTGCTTACGGTAAACACCACCTCGGTGTTTTCCGGAAGCTTCACGCTTGCCCTTTCATATATGCAGGTCTAACGGATTGTCAGTGACCTCAACCTCACGGGATCACACCCTATTTTCATGACGATAGATTTTTTGCATCTACAACAGCTACTACTTCAAAGTTCAAAACCCATGCAAACAAGTTATAATATCATAAAATAAATAAACTTTCTAATCATGCTTAAGCAGGGCCCTGGGCGTCTTGCTCTCGGACTTCTGAAACTTTAGTAAGATTTTGAATATTCATGACTTTCATTCATTACCCCCATAAGTTAACCACCATTACAAAATATATAACTAAATAGATATAGTGCCATGAAATTCGACATTCTAGGCTTCTAGCTACCTAATAATTTTTCATCCAGCTACGACTAGTTATAGTAACTAGCTGCGAATGCTAAGTCATGATATCATGTACTATAGAATATATGTATATACAACAGTATGAAATATATATTATGAATATACAAATGGTGGTCGTAGATGGTATCAATAGGTTTACATAGAGCTGCTGTAACCTCCTCCTGCAGTTCGGCTAGTGAGGGAAGGTCTCATTGTTACAATGGCAGATTCATTGGCTCCAGCTTTTAAAGCAGCCCTTCCAGCTTCCAGGAATCTCTTGACAGCATCTTGTGCGTATTTGTTGGCTTCTCCCACTGTCATGCTTTCGCCAATATATGGGTAAGTATTCAAAACATAATCACCATTTAACTGTGATGCAAGCTGGATCAGTTCAACTTGGAACTCTGAGAGTTTTGTATCTTCCTTTGGTCCCCATGGTCTAAGTGACAGCTTCACCTCTGGCAGGGCAACTGCATCCAAGTTTCAGGATTAATTTTGAATCATGGATGCAAGAATGATTAATGACAAGATTTATACGAGAAAGTCTACCATATGAACCTCACATACAAACCTTGAGTCACACAAGTTTATACCTAATTATTACATGAGGCTCATTTACCAATTGATAATGTAAGTGCAGCTACCATGGATTTGTGAGTATGAAATTTTCTTACACAGAATTAAAGTAGCATGAAAAAGTAAGTAGCTCTTCAAAGTGGTTTTTGAATTTGCACCCACCCGATGCAATAACATGCTCATTAATGCCTTGAGGTTCCACACTCTCGACAGGGTTTCACCAAAGAAAGTAGCCACAAATTAGGTGGAAGGCACATGCTTTAAGAAAGAGAAACTTAAAAGAAGCAAATGATCAAGTTAAGTCATGACCTTTAAATTAGAGAAGGGAAATAAGGTTATGGATCATTTATAATTCTTGTTAGAGGAAAAAAAGGATGGTCTATTTAATGTTCAGCACAAAGCAATCATAAATTATATAAAAGACGCAATTTTCAGGTTAGGAACATAGCATATATCTACATAAGTTTGCAAAGAAGCCCAAGTTTTTGAAGTAAAAAAACCACAGAGAATAAAGCACCATTGTTAATCAGTGGGTTAGATTCCAACCTGGACAATCATCACGTGGAGTATCACGGAGGTAAAAATACTTCTCAAAGGTGCCAGCCCAAGCATCCCTCTTAGTTAAAAAGTTGGATTTCAAGTTAAAAAGTTTCTTTACAGTTGCAGGTATCGAAGAATGCTCATATTGTGAATATGGTGTTGGCCCCTCTGGCTCATGGATCACTGCAGCAAACAATTAAGAGTAAATCACAGGTCAAAGCAAACAACAAATTATGAATCTAAAAGTCCAAATATCAGATTCAAAAGAGTGTATGCCTGTATAGCTCAAGCTTAGTTGCTGGTGTACAAGTAACATTCAAAAACTGTGAGTTCTTGTCATGATTTCAAGAATAAGATGTTCATTTAGGAAAGATATACGATAAACTAGTCATCTAATACATGCAGGGCAAGACCAACCGTCCAACTATTTTAGGAAAAATTGTGTTTGCAGCTTTCCCATCCAGTTGATATTTTCAGATTCGCTTTTATATAACAACATATTTGATTTAAATAGAATAATCTATGGCTGCCACAGTAATGAAGTAGCCTTTCTCAATCAGTTTTAAATCAATCCTAAGGCACCATTAGTTGTCAACGACTCTATAACAGACAATCTAGACCTATTTACATGACCCCCAGAAGCAGAACATATAGTAGAAGTATTGATTCTAATTGCCCAATTCAATATTGCATTAATTAGTACCTACCCTAGTCCTAGAAATGCCAATAAGATTGCATCTCATGTGTGAATGTAGGACATCTATATTATAACCACATCACCATGATTATTATGTCCCAGCACTAGCAGTAGATGACCGCAGGCTTCCTTCAGCCTTTCCTATCAAAAGAGGTTAACAAACAATTTCCCGAAAGCAACAAACTACCAACTTAAGTGTTTCAAGCTAAAGAAATTCCAAATGAACAGAATTAACTATCACAACCAACACCACAGCTTATCAAGGCCAAAAACCAAATCCCGCAAAAATTAAAACTAAAAAGACCCACAGGATTAACAAAAAAAAATAATTATCTTTTAACAAAATGCTTAACACCACGAGAGAAAATTTCATATGAACTAAAAAAACAAAGTTAGAAATAAATACACTAAATATTAGTTAATTAATTGAAACTTAAATAACTGCAATGAATATTAAAACTCACCAATTCCTTTATCAATCCACGGCGAGATCAAAATAGTGGGGACTCGAACACCCAACCGGTCAAACGAGAAGTAAAACGGGTCGGGTCCAACAATTCCATCGGGGCTAGGCACATGAGAAACTGGAGTGGGCACGTGATCGTAAAACCCCCCGTGCTCATCGTACGTAATCAACAGCGCCATTTCGTTCCACTGGGGGCTACTCCTCAGTGTTTCATACACCTCCTTTACGAACCTCTGACCTTCCGCCACGTCATGCGACGGGTGATCATCGTTCGCCGGAAACAAGTCCACGTCAAAGTAACGTTGCTCCACCACCGCGTAGTTCGGCAACTTCCCGAGCTTCGCGTGCAACTTGAACTTAAGCGCGTAGTCGTGGAATTTTAATATGTGCTTCAATTTCCTCAGGGACTTGTAGAACAGCGTGGCGGGGATGTTTTGGTAATATATCCCAAAAGTGAGGTCATTTTCGTCAAGTGAGTCGAAAATTGTTTTCTGAGGAAAGCCGTGGATTAGGTCTTTCCGTACGTTGCTACTGGCCCCATGTGACGTGGCTGAGTGAACATAGAACCGGTTCGGCTGAGTCGAGGTCGGGACCGATGCGAACCACCGGTCGAAAACGGCGAACTCGTTGGCTAACTCGGTGAAAACCGGCACACGAAAGGGTTTGAACCCACTCATGACGGTTTTCGCCATCCCAGGGCCCATACTCTCCGCCTGCTGTACGAACCCGTTCATAGGAGCCTCGTCCGCGAAGGTTTCACTCGATCCGAATATTTGTTCACGGATCGCTTGGAACGAATGGCCCGGGTCGGAGTCAACGAAAATAGCGTCATCAGAAACGAATACTTCCTTCGAGTTGGGGTCAGATACGTTGACCCGGTTTGACTCCTTTCCGGTGAGTCCATCGATATCCGGCCGGGTAGACTTAAGCCAGCCGAAGACGTGATCGAAAGAGCGGTTTTCCATCACGACAACCACAACGGTCTTGATCGGACCATTGATTTTGTGGCGTTTTCGAAAACTATTAAATTCGAGGGACTGAGATGACATAATGAGATAGATGAAAAAAATGAAGGCTAGTGGTGCTCGCCGCCGGTAATACTCCATGTCCGGCGTTCGGAAACCGGGAAATCCCGGTGATAAACAGAGAGAAAGTTAGAAAATTGGTGATGAAGTTACGTGATAAATGAGTAAAGTTGGTGACATGGGAAAAAAAGGTGGGTAAGGTAACGGGTATATGCTTTCAGAATGTGAAGGCTTTGGGGAAACTTCAAATTATAGTTTGAGTGGTGAAGTTGAGAATCAACTACCAAATCTGACACGTGGCGTCATTAGGTTGATGATGAAACAAGTTACAGGGGTCCGGCTTTGGCTTCTTTGACTGTCGTATAGTATTGGGTGCGGTGGCGGGCGGCATCAGGAATTTATAAGGTAGTTCATAAATTTTTAATGTGTTATTACCCCTTACCCCCCTAAGGTTTGGGTTTCCGTCACTCACNTTACAGGGGTCCGGCTTTGGCTTCTTTGACTGTCGTATAGTATTGGGTGCGGTGGCGGGCGGCATCTGGGATTTATAAGGTAGTTCATAAATTTTTTATGTGTTATTATCCCTTACCCCCTAAGGTTTGGGTTTCAGTCACTCACACCCCAAATAGTATTAAAAAGAAATTATTCCTCATCTCCTCCCACTTTTTAAAAAGAAAAATGCTACGCACTCTGACCTTTTACACCGAATTTTTACACGGAATGATATGTTTACTGAATTAGACAAGCTACGTATCACGTTAACAAATATTTCATGAGTGAATGAAGATGGACGATGGTCCATTATTATTTGACGACCGTTCATTTAAAATAGACCGTCGTTCATATAACCGTTTACCTAGAATGAATGTCCCTTCATAGTTTAAAATTAAAAAATTTATCCTAAATTGTTTATGGATGCCGTTCATCTTTTAATATTAACAAATTTTAAAATTAAAATTTATTTAATGCATTAATTGTCCAGTTGACAAAAGTTATTTAATGCATTAATTTATTTAATTGGGCGTCCATCCAATTGCTTTGAATATAGACAAAAATTTAATGAAACTTGTCCAATTACTTTAAACATTGACAAAAGTTAAATGACAAAAATTTAATGAATATGAATTGAATGCAATTTTTTTTTAAATTGTTTGGATATGACACCCGTCCATAATAAATGTAAATTTTTTTAAAATTGTTTGGATATGGACGCTTGTCCATTGTAAATAAACACCCGTCAATTATTTTTCTTTAAAAAATTTTTAGATGGGCATCCATTCATTCATAGTGAATAGACACTCATTTATATAATATGAATATGAATCTAATAAATATAGACGGGCATCTATAAATGTTAGATGATCGTTCATTCACAAAAGACTCCAGCGTAGTCATATTTGACTGATTGTTATGTCCTTCGGTACAAAAATTCGGTATAAAATTTTGGTATCTATAACATTACTCTTTTTTGAGACGTAATAATGGAAAGTGAGAGATAATTGTTTATACCTTTAGGGTGAGAAACAGAAATCCAAATCTTAGGGGAAGTGAAGGATAATAACCCAACTTCATTAGATTATTTAGGATAGCTTTTAAAGAAAATTCATGAATAAATCACTCAATTTGTGATTGAGGATAAGATTTTAATCATCAAAATGGATTACCGAAAGGTCTTATATTTGAACTTATTGAACTTATAATTAAAATGTGCATAGACCGGCCAGACACCTAGTAATTTAAAAAAAAAAAGAATTCGTGAATAAATATCTGATATTTTTTTTTACAGGATAAATTCCTATTTTTGTTCCTTAGCAATAATAGTATTAAGGACAATTTCTATTTCTTAGGCGTTATCGTCCCACAACAACTTGGCCACTTAAAAATAATGACTTTTCTGTCTGATATGAATTACGCAAAACGTTAATGTCAGAAATGAACAATCAAAGAGATTATTGAAAGCATCTCCAGATTTTTCTTATCTCTTCATTGGACCCTAATAAGTCCACGTCTTTGGCCGTAAAACTGACAGCATTACCAATTCCCTTCAACTGGGAAGTGGGAAGTAGAGATAAGGCTACGTAGACTAAGTGGGTGGTATTGAATCTACTACCACTCACTTTTGTTATGTAATATAGCATCTTAAAAATATTCCTTAGAGATCCTGCAGGGAGGTTCAGACTTCACACTCCATCAAGATTGATACAATATTCATTTCATCAGCCATTGAATCAAACTTTATGGTTCGTCAATTCGCGTCTTAAAAACACGGCAATTTCTCTAGATGAAGTTCATCTACTCAACCAATAAAAACAACTCAATAAACATTACTAACTAAAAATCTATGCTCAAACAACTAATTAGAAAAAACTAAACTTAGTTTAAGCAACTTCTTTAAAAGATAGTGACTAAGCTCAGAAATGGACCAGATGTAAGTTGAGACATTTACCAAATCAATTTTGGCTGTGAATGCTCCATAAAACCACTATCTAATACGCAGGAACATCTGGTTATACTCTATATGTATGTATCTCTAAAAAAGATGTTGGTAATATCAAGCTTAACATGCCTTAGAATAGATGAAGAGAGAGCTTCAGCTTGTTCTGCCTCCATTTAGCAAGCTTGTAGAAGGCTTGTTTTGTCATTCCAAATTTCTCTTCAAACTCTTCCTCTGATAAGTATGCCTGAATGCAAAAATAAAATTTTGAGTCACTATATATCTGCATTATTAGTGGAAGATGTTGAAGATTTTTAGTTTAGACGAATCATTATTCAGGCAAGAGTTTAATCAATAGATTCATACAAAGTAAAGCAAATTTTAAAAAGAAAAGCACCTCTCTTTTAGTAATATCTATGTCTGTCACGCGGTCCTTTGAATCCACTCTCAATCTTTCATAAGAATATGTTGATAAATTTAATTCAGGCTTACTTCCATTAACCTGAGTAAGGCCCACGTTCTCTGAAGGGGAGCTTGTTTCTACTGTCGGGGAACCTGCAATAACAGTTAACAATGATTCATTTCTGAAGAAGAATTTATGAGCAACTTATAGGATGCTTCATTACCAGGACTACCTTGCTTAGGAGTCGATTCTGAAAAGAGCTTCCTGGCTATTGGAGTTTCACTGATCCCTCTATTAGAATTTGGCGAGTTCAGTTTTGAACCTGATAAACTGAATGCAGGGCTACCACTTCTTCGCAAGCCATTTGAACTGACAGATTTGCTTCTCAAACCATCTGGGGTACTCCCCCTGGAGTTACCTTTCCATGAGTTCCTTGGTGCCTGAACCATCAGTTACATAAACCATGAGCCATAAAATTCTTTGGTTACATTTGATGAAAAAGTTATTTTTGTTACCAAAAATGGAAACAAAGCAGTAATATTTACTGCATCTTATCCGAAACATATTTGATACTCTTGAAATTGAAACCTTGTAAGTAATTTTGTGGATGTATAACTAGTTTTGTATTTTCAATTTTCTTAAAGATATTGTTGTGTTTACTTAGTTTAATGATCTGCTAACACTTGTTATTGATTTCCTATAACTTTCTCAAGGAAAGCTACATTCAATTGTGGTGAAGGCAAACTTGACTGGCAGTATTACATCATTTAGCCACATTTGAAGGTAAGTAGGTAACTTTTGGGCCACTCTTTAAAGAAATGCCCCCTTTTGAAGAAATGCCCTCCTACTTTAATCACATCAAGCTTATAGCTAGCACCAAAGCATCATGAATCCATCCAATGCATTAATGAAAAAGTTTGTATGCACGCGAGAACAAGTCAGATAGTTCAGCACAAGAAATCTCAAACACACATTGTTAAGGAAAAAAAGTTCACTTACTTCTGTACTTGGTGTTCTTCCTTTCAAAAGAGCTAGCTTCCGCTCAAATGAGTTACCAAGCATCTGAAAGCCGCATGTCACTTAAAATTATAAATCAAACTGTACAAAATTATCTAAGGCAATTCCCTTCAATAATATCCGTGGATATTCAAGATACAAGACTTGAGGATGGCAGATGATGATGATCCACTTACTTTTGCCTTTGACGGATCCCATGCGAAGAAGCGAGTGAAATGTGGTGGCTCATTCCCTTCTGTAACAACATAAATGGGAGTCTCTAGAGATAGTCCTTCAACCAGAATGTCTGTCTCCAGAAATTTCTGCCAGTTACAAGAGTAAGAAAATGAGGCACAAATAGAGGATAACAGCATCAATGTGTTCAATAATAGGCCATTTATGATTCTTGCATAAAAAAATATTGGCATGTTCAATATCGTATTCCTTCCTATATTTCTGGCTATGAAATCATCACCACATCAATTGAACCAAGCCTATAAGCTTTAGACCTGTATGACACAAGCATTTGACTAATCTCTTATGGACCATTGAAGTTTGTAAAACGCTTAGATAAACTAAGTACCATTTCAAGCATATCCCATTAATAATATTGCAATAGATGTACTTGATCAACATATACATAAAGTTGAAATGCAAAATCAAATTCACATAAGCCATCAAATTAAAACTCTTATGGACCATTAAAATTTGCAGATAATGAGTGTTGAATTAAACAATTACCAGACCAAGTCCAAGGGCCTCTTGTTTTGATTTAACATTTGAATGGCATCCAATCCAAACATGTATTTCTCTCTGGCAATCTAGCACTAAGACATCTTCAGTTGTTAAATCATCCTGTGTGAAGTTGTATATCTCTTTCACCTGAAAGATAGACCACACCAAAGGTCAGCCAATACTGTTATGCAGTGATTCAAATACACTCTAAAGGTGAACCAACTTTAAAATGTATGCATGCCCATAAAGCTTGTACATGTAATGTACCTTGAAATCACCTGAAAAGGGAGAATGATCCAAGCAGCAAAAGAACCATAACCCGAAATTAGAGACGATTTGCTGCCATTTAAACTAGTATTCTTCTGATTCAAGGCATAACCACATCACCTTCAAGGGAACTAAATAAAAAGGAAAGGATGTTTTGCATACCTTCAGTAAAGGTACATGTAAACAAATGTGGATCTTCTATGCATCTTCTTATCTCCTTTTCCCTTGGATGCTCTCCCTTTCCACCAAGTGCATTCCAGAAAGCATCTGGTTCACTTCCTTCCCTCACTGATATGGGCTGCCATGTTGGCTGAAAATGGCATCAAGGAAAAACAAAAATGGATAACGATCATTAAGAGTGAAGTCTACAAGAACAGAAGAAAAACCAGCAATCTACAATATATTCATGTAATTAGCATTTTTATTTAGTCCCCTACAGACTATGCAATACTGGATCTATTTTCTATTTGGATGCAAACAG